ACTGGGGATGTGCTCACAACCCTGGTACATGCCCTTGACCGGAATCAAACCTGGGACCTTTCAGTCCGCAAGCCGACGCTCTATCCACTGAGCTAAACCGGTTTTGGCCTCTCTTTTTGTTTAAAGGGTGTATTTGCTGCATATGGCTGAGATCCTTAGTGATCTATCCTATCTAATAAAAGACAAAAGGGGTAATTAACCATACCTCTGCTACGCTTCCCATTGACTAATCAGCAAGATATGCAAATTAACTGCCAACAAAGATGGCAGCCGGCAGCCACAAGCTGAAGCCAGCAGAAAGTTTGCTTGCTCCAGTGATAGAGGAAGCCAAGGTTCCCCGCCTGCAGCGGCCCAGCTCTAAGCTCCGAAAGCAACAATGCTTCAATTATAGAAGCTAAACAAACCTCAGATACCTGCTTTCAGCCAGCCACGGCCTCAGAGCTAGGAGCGCCAGTGAAGGCAACAGAGTTTCAATTATAGAAGGTAAATAAATCCCAGAATAAAAAGAAAAAAAGGAGAGGCTGGGAGCCTCATTTTAAACCACAGACCAAATAACTTTTTTTTTCATTTTATATAAATCAACATATAGTACATTATTCCAGAACCACTTACATTTGTTATTGAGTAAATCGTCATTGTTGCTATTTTAATCCAGAAGGTAATTGGGGCATATTCCCCTTGGAGTTTCTCCTGTGGGTTTTATCAAAGTTGAATAAATTGATATAAGCAATCTAAATGAAAATATTCATAATGTAACTAAACATGCATTTGCTGTTCTACAGGTAAGGGGTATTTTCAGATGATTTGCAGAATATTTTAATAGGTAAGATCTAAAATATCAGGTCAAATGTATGTTATAAAATCTCCAGTACTAATCCCTTTGATTGTTGCCTATTGCTTAGGTGAATTCATCAGTTTGCAATGATGCAGCCTGTCTAAGATTTGAAAGACAATAATTCCTAGAATAAAACAAATCATTGTAAATATTAAATTTATGTTTCAAGGTGAAATGCGAAAGCTCCAAATAGAGTATAAGCTTTCTTTTCCCTGATGGAAGCAGACAGAACAGTCATGTTTTATTTATTTCTGTGGGACGGTGAGGGGGGAAGTCAGTTGCAGAATGAAGCCATGGCACAGTAAGAGGCAGTGAAAAGTGCCTGCAACATGAGGGAGACCTGGGATTAAATCTTGGCTCGGGCACTTAGTCACTGTGAGAGTTGCTGTTCAGGTGAAATACAGTAATGTGGCAAAAGTTCATTTCTACAGCTCAATAAGGGTTATAAAAGTGTTATTTTTCTCCTCCTTTGCAAATTCAGTGTTTGCTGCCCAAGATTAAAGTTATATTTTTGGAAGTGTGTTCACATTAATTGCAAAAGTCAGTTCTCTATTACTAAATTCTTTACAATACATGGTCATTTTATCTTTATAACTCTGAGTCGTTTCAATATATTCTGATAAATTTTAGTTATATTCATCTAAATAAAATGATTGTTTTAAGAGAAATTTAACCAAAATGTTTAACATAGTAATTTTTCATTACCTTATTTACTCAAAGCAAAATTGAGCCCACTGCTATGTGACCAATGGGATTGTATTGATTTCTATGTGGTTTTTTTTTTTTAAATAACAGGTTATACCACTCATAAAGCTTCTTTATTTTCCAATCCAGACACATAAAAAGTGCATCAACTCTATACTTCTGGTTACAAAACCTGGCATTACCTTGGGTAGGTCTAAGTGTATATGTATGCATACTTTTCTGAAAGTGCACCCATTTTATCTGTTCCTTACCAAAACTCTCTAATTTTTAGAGTAATACTTACCAAAGTCAGTGGAGAAAACATAAAAACCTTCCTCCAATATTATCTGTCTAGAAATTTGTCAACTTCAAGTTTTTTCACAAATAAAATATGAAAACCATTTGAGTCAAAATTTTCTGTAATATATTCCTTTCTTTGAGATAATTTCTTTGTAAATTTTTGTGCATTTATTGTTTTATTCTGAGGTTAAAAAAAATCAGCTCTTGGGAATGGAAAATTTGCTGGGAAATTATGTCTAAAAGGAATATCAGGGAGCTGCTGTGAACATAAGTGGAACAAACTATGTCTTGTCTCTCTTCCAGGGCATCTCATATACTGGAGATAGAGGGTAAAGCAACATTGGGCCATCCCTGGAGATCAGGTTCCAAGCAAGCTCGCTTGGCATGCTTCCAAGGGAAAAAAACACGCTGGGACTAATTGCAGTTATGTTATGTTCTGAGGAAATAGTTGCCTTTTTCCCTTGATGGCCCACAATGAGAAGCTTGGTTTGGTCTTCTTTTGTTATCCCCTAAATTTTTAACTGGGTTGGTGGAGAAACCATTTCTGGAGACATACTTAATTACTCTCTGATTGAAACCATGCACGATGGAATAATTCATTTTTCACCGGGAAATATTTTTATGTTCAAAAGTGTGATTCTATCATAGCAATAAAGTAAGTTCATTTGGAAAAAAATTGGAATGCAACAGAAATCACAGAACGAATTGAGGACATCAATAATAATATTATGACACTTTGATGAATTTCTCTTATTTTCTTACCTTCATTCATACTTATTTGTGCATTTATAGATTTATAGATTTATAGATTACTTATTACACTATATATTTAGCATCCAATCCTCATTTTATAAGCAAAATTTCATAACACACAGTGACCGATGTTACATTAGTCTTTGATAAATATTTTAAGATAGCACAAGAAAACATGGTGTAGGCTTCCTATTCAGGTTTGACAATCACCTAATTCATCTATGTAGCAATATTTCTGCAATTCATTTTAGTATTTTGGCATACTCTGTATATAAACATGTCAAGTATTTTCTTAAATAGGAATAAAAAATTAAAATACTAAAAGAGGTATAATATTTTATTGAAAATTGTCCAGGATGAAGAAGCAAAAGAATAATCTGAAAAGGGATAGAGGGAGAATAAGATTAAAGCGTTCTTAGGAATCATCTAACTCATGATAATGAAATCAATTTATATGGATTTAAAAGTAACTCTTTCAACCCTAGCTGGTTTGGCTCAGTGGAAGAGAGCGTCGACCTGGGGACTGAAGGGTCCCAGGTTCTATTCTGATCACGGGCACATGCCAGGGTTGTGGGCTCGATCCCCAGCAGGGGTATGCAGGAGGCTGCCAATCAATGATTCTCCTTGTTGATTTTTTTTCTCCCTCTCCCACCTCCCTCCTCTCTGAAATCAATAAAAACGTATTTTAAAATTTAAAGTAAAAGAAAAAGAAAAATCTATTTTAAAACAAGTAACACTTTTAGGAAAGTTCATTTATAGTCAAAAATATCATAAGA